TGGCACATGCATTTAATCCCAGCACTGGGGAGGCAGAGGCAGGTGGATCTCTGTGAGTTCAAGGCCAGCCTGGTTTACATAGTGAAATCCAGGCCAGCTGGGGCTACAGAGAAACCCTGTCTCAAAAAAAAAAAAATGTTGGCAACTAAAATATGCAGAAATTTGGAAGGTCCAATAAAGCATTACTTAAGATCACACAGAAATTGAGGGAGGCACCAAACTTAAATTCCGAGTCCATTATCTCATTACTTACCTTGTAGGGAGGCCCACGTCCTCCCAATTTATGTTCCAGAACATCAGCGGCTGTTGAAAAGCCTCTATTTTGTGACCATTTTCAACCTGATACCCAGATAGTCACAGTCCAGAAGAATCAAGGCTCAAGTCTTCTCAGCGAGATATTCTCAGATCATCAGGCTTTCTTGGACATGTGCCTCTGTTAGTAGTCTTAGATGATTCTTGAGTTCACCACTGAGCCAGAAATATCTACTTCTAGCCAGTTATGGTGGCTCATGCCTGTAATCCCAGCACTTGGGAGGCTGAGCTAGGAAGATCACTGATAGTTCATAGCCAGTCTGGTCTTCAAAGAGAGTTCCACAACAGCCTGGGCTATACAGTGAGGTTCTTCTTAAATGGGAACAACAGTAATAACAACAATAGCAATATGTTCAGTTCTTTATCTTCACTAATGAAATACACACTAGTACATTTCTGAGCTTCATAATCCTTGTTATTTGTCTGCTTAAAATGTACTGAGAAATCACAAATGTCAAATGTTAATATACCTGCCACTCTTTTATCCAGAGCCCTAGAAGAGTTATATAGAACCCTGAAAGTTTTTCCCTGGTCTACTTGAATCTGATGTGAAAAGAAAGCAGGAAGAAAAAGGTCATTCTCCATGGGACCTAAAAAGAGCAAAAAAGGCAGGAGCAAACATGTGAAGAATTTGAGTTTTCACTGCCATCCAAGGTACTCAGTGTTCAAGAGGAAGTCACGCACCTCAGGTCTGTTGTAGGACTTGACTTTGTAGAGCACGAAGTGTGCTATTGAAAAGGCACCGGATTTAAAATCAGCAATGCCAAGCTCCCAAGCTGACTTGGGCTCCTGCCGGTGGAAACACGTTTATAGTCAATTTACCTCACCGAGCTTCCTCATCCTCAATGAAGATATAAAGGAGTGGGAGATAATTTGCCATGTGAGCTGAAAACCTGATGGAATTCTAAGAATGAGGACTAAGCAAAGGAGGAAGTAAAAGGGAAGAGAAGGAAGAACACAGAAGGGTCCAAAGAGCTTTGCTGAGACTACCTTTTGCCTTTCTGTCGCTGCCCAGCTCTGCTTTTGTCCTTAGGTCCATGAGTGTGTTTCCCTGTCATTTGGGTCTAGTCTACTACCTGCTACTGTTTTGCTAATTGTTGGCCTTGCTAGAATCCCTGATTTCCCCTGCCATTCTTCCTGTGCTTCTATGAGGGTTACTATGACAAAAATAGGGCAGAGTGTAGTGTGAAGTAACATTGACAACCGTCATGTATCTCCATTTAACTTATTTTTGTAGCACTTAGACAATATTGTTAGTCTTAGAGAGTAGCTTAAATTTTTAAGACAGCATGCTTTCCCTGTCCATTTGTCCCACAGCAGCACCCTCTCTTAGGCCATTCTGAATCCTGTCTAGTGTAATGAAGATATATTAACAGACACTTAAGGATTTCCTATACAGCAGATAGCTGTATGTGTTTTCTCTCCCCAGCGTCTTTTCCTGTGACTTAACTTTTCACAAAGGATGAGAAGGCAAGTACATACATGCAATCCCTTTGTTCTAAAGATATTGTGAAATATTGATTCTTAACCATATGTCAAAACTAGTGAAGTTATTTTCTGTATTTTTTGCTTGTCTGTCTTATTCAGTGACCAAGGAATTAAAGTGTAAGTTGTTTTCATTGTTGAATTGGATATTTATATATTTAGTATGCTTTCCATGTGTTATTTAATTCTGTATTATTTCTTATAATTGTATTAAAATACTGAGCTGTTAAAAGTGTCAACTAAATATTTGATGTGTTATATTCCCTTGGGAAATGTAAAAAATAAACAGTAACACTTGAATTTTGTCTCTGCATGTGAAAACCCTTCCCTTTCTATCTCCAACCCCCTAAAGGATAGAGTTGACCTCTCTAACTGTTCACAAAACCATAAATGATGTATCTCTGATGTGGTCATAGAACTACTGCAGTTTGGTGCTTTTGACATGATTCTACCAATCACGAAGTTCTTTCTTATGTGTGTTCTCTTGGTTTCACTGCTAAATACCAGTCCTTGTAAATGGACTAGCTCACCACACACTTCCACATATAGCACAAATCAGCACTCTGTTTCACTCTGTTTCTGGCACTTCAACTAAATCATTGCTAGGTCCAGCAGGACAATGAAAGCAGTGCTTTTCCAGCATTTTGGTCTCAGAACCCCTCTATTCATTTAAAACATTAATGAAGACCCCAAAGAGTTTCTATGTAAATGAATTATATCTTTTGATATGATGGAAACATAAATTTGGGAAGCCAAAGTATTTAAGCATGGAGCCATCTGTATTGTGAACATCACTTACCATACAGTTTCTGTTCAATGCCACAGCACATTTGGAAAAGAATGAGAATAAAAAAGGCAAAAAGTGCATTGGTACTATTGCAAAAGTGATTTTGATTCTGTGGACCTATTGAAGTGGTTTGGGCACAACACTAAAGACATTAAAGCATAGGTAAAGCAGCTGCCTTATAAAAAGATTTCACGTGTCTTTCTTTTCAAGGAAACTCCTTCCTAGACAGCTTGCTCTGCACTGCTTAAGTATTTCATCATTCAACACTTAACTGAGGCCATTGCTTTTCTGGTAGCTCCTCTTCCAAGTTCAGAGACTTATGGAGCTCTGGGACTCATCCTTACTGGTCACTAATGATTCAGTTTAAATCAATGTGCGAAATGGCTTGTCAGTTGCCTTTCAGAATATTGAAGCACCCGGACTTAGTACAGGTGTGTTTGATGGCGAAAGCGAGTGCGGAGGGTTACAGAGAGCTAAAGAGGAAGGAAGGGTAGCTCAGAGCATGTTTCCTTGTCTGAACAGGTAGGTGGATGTAGAGCCTCATGTTTTGGTTTCTCTTCCCAGGTTTCTTCCTACTACCGCACCTACCCTAGCCCCCTCACACTCAGTATGAACTTTCAACTATGGTTATCTTTTTGTACTTATGAATTAGAAAGAACAGCTTGAACTTTGCATAATGAAGATAAACTGGGAAAGCTGTAAACTTTTTGGCTCACTTAAAATAATTTAATCATACTTTTCTTTATTAAATTTTTAGAAAAATTCCAGGGTGATGATAAGCCTGCTCAGAATCATGGGGAAACAAAAGAATCCTTTGGTGCTTAGCTAAAACTGAAAACTGAAGATGAGGTTTGGTTTTCCAATTAGGGATTCACCCATCACTGAGGGTAATTCACAAACCATTGACAGTGAATCACAAATGTAGTTGCAAATAGAAAAAAAAAATCCATATTTCTACTAGACACTGTAGGATTGGGCTAAAAGAATTCTCTTTACATAGTGGGTTCAAAACTAGCCTGGGCTGCATAGTGAATTCCAGCCAGCCAGGGCAACATAACAAGGCCTTGTCTCAAACAAACTAAACTAAACTAAAACAAAATAGCACCCCTCCAAACAAACAAAGCAAAACAAAAAACCATAATTCTCTTGAACCAATTTCCTTCTATGGTTATTCATCTCAAGATAGTGATTTCACTTTTTAAAATAAAGCTTCCAAAATTATTCCCCCACAATTATATTAGAGGGTTAAACCTCCAGCCTGGATCACACAATTCTCTTTCTCGCTCTCTCCTCCTATCTCTCCCTTTCATCCTCGATCCCCTACTGTGATTCATCTCACATTCTATTTACCAGGGCCTCCTGTTTGTCCTATTGATGTATTCAGACTCCAATGGCTACCTTTAATCCTATTCCCTGGTCTGTGCAATCATCTTTTTCTCTTGAATCTGCCATAGCTTTCTAATTAATCCCCTTGCTTCCCCCCAACCTGCCTTTTTTTCGGTATATTGTAAACATGATTGTCCTACAGTACAAGTCAAACTCTTGAACAAAATTTCTTACATGCTTCTATGTCATAGAATAGAAGCTAAAGTATTTACATGGCTATTGGGACACTGCTCGCTCCTGATCGCTCCTGATCACTAGCCCTTGACATTTGTCAATGTTCCAAACATTTCTACCTCAGGGGAGACGAGGTGGATTCTACATGTGCTTGTTTACGTGCTGAGTCCTATCTTCTTGATGACATCAAAACTCCAACTGACACAGCACAAGCCTCTTGTCCAGTACACTTTGCATCTCCTCCTCACACCCACAGCCTCCCCACCCTTCTGAAGTGGACATGGAGTAAGGAGGAAGTGGGAAGCCTGGCTGCAGGAGCTGTAGTCTGACTGAGCAGAAAGAAAGCCTATGAGCTTGTTTTCAGAATAAGCTGAAACACAGGCAAGGCTCCAGTGACTTGACTTTTCTCTGAGCTGAAGATGAAACGAAAGGACTACACAAATTCAAAATACTGTTTTTATGTGACATCGCCTTCCTGGCATAGTTTTGTAATATGTCTGAGTTTCTTTTCCTGTTGTTGTGATAAAACACTCCGACCAAAGCTATTTACGGGACAAATGGTTTATTCTGCTTCACAGTTCAATCTGCAGTCCATCATGGTGGGAAGACACGGCTGTAGAAGCTTCAGAGAGCTGGGGGCACTGCATCTGCAGTCAAAGAGCTGAGCGTAATGAATGCACACGGTCCAGCTCGTTTTCTCCATCTTACACAGTTCAGGATCCCTACCCAGGGAACTGTCAGCCCCAGATAAGATAGGCCTTCCTACATCAGTTAACCTAATCAAAACAATCTCTCACAGGCATGTCCATCTCCCAGGTGGGCTCTAAATCCTGTCAACTTGACAGTCAACACAAATATTCATACCATGTGACTTTGGAGTATGATATTTTCATTCTTTTAACCTGATTCGTGTTAATCTAGATAGCAGAAAATCCAACTCAAAACCATCAAAGCATCACATGGTTCATTATATATACACACACAATTTTAATGTGTTAGTCTCCATTTTTTTAACTAAAAGTTGGAACTCAACAAAACAGGTTTTTCTGGGAGTAGACTTCACTTTACAGTCTAATCATAGAGATGAGCCCAACTGCTCATGTCATACAGTTAAAATACCCACATGATTTGAGATGTGGTTACATCTATAGCTACTAATTTCCTTAAATTTGGGGAAATATGTTGGTTTCCCTTCTTATAAATCAAAGACAACATCATGTATATCTTATTTTAAGAATAAGGTGGTGACTTTAGTTAAATGTTCTTAGGTAGCTTATTAAGAGTCCAGATGGCTCAGAGTGAAATGCCAGGAAGCACTAAACTCAGGGATCAACTAAACACATAGTGAGCCATCTGGCAGAAGCACACTGTTTGCAAGGTGTACCATCAGGACCCGAAGGCTTGGTCTACCTATGTTTGTGAAATGTACCTTAAAGATATCTGTATTTTATTCCCTCTTTCTGTTTGTCCCAGTGGGTTTTAAAAAGGCCAAGTAGGGGCTGGAGAAATGGCTCAGCAGTAAAGGGCACTGGATGCTCTTGCATTGTGTGACATGGGTGTACTTACACACATGTAGACAATACACTCACACATAAAATAAAAATAATAAATAAAAAAATATTTTTTTAAAAAGTTGAGGAATCCAGGGGCTTCTTAGACATAATTGGAGTCACCCAGGGGAAACAAGACACATTTTCATCTTAGAATTAAGATTTAATTTACAACCCTCTTGGGAAGCAAATGTGCTCCTCCAGAGAATTCCAGGCTTTGTTGCTGTGTTTGGTTTGGCCAGATCCTAGCCTAGTATTCTCAGAGGCCATCAAAAGTTAGATAGTAACTTATTTAACCAGAGGTTAGCAACAATGTGAGACTCTGTGTCTCAGAGGTCAATCAGCACAAAGTCACCTGGTAAACTGAAACTTCCTGATGTAGTCCAAGAGACATAGCAGCCTCTGAGTCTCTGTGGAAGAGGCCGAATCTCCAAACCTCAGAAATTAGAAGGGATCTCTTTTCTAGACCTCACTCACCAGGATCACGCAAGCCTTTTCCAGAGTTCGCAAAGCAAGCAATCAGAACTGCCAATGTTGTTACAAAGATTCTTATGTGGCCTGATAGGGTCTGGTTTGGTGTCCTGGTTCAGCTGAGAAAACCATTTCCCTAGGTTATATATAGCGTTAGGACCTCAGAGTTTACTGGAAGTCAAAACTTTCCTAAACCACTTCCCCACATAAAGTTCAAAGCTATTCCCATTATTGGCATCTGACTTAATTCCAGCATCTTTGGCAGTGAAAAAGTACAGAGTAGGCTTGATAAACTTAGTTTGGGGGAATAACCTTTCTGGTGCATAGATTTCACTTGGGTAGAGTCTTTCTGATTGTTTCAGCAAGGGTGTTATTTTTTCCTTGGGTGTGGAAAGATGTGTTCCACTGCATTCTTAGCTAGGGAGGGGTAAGTGTCCAGAGATGCCAGATTAACAACAACAACAAAATTTAAAAAATTAAAATCTAAAAGAACTGCTCACGAAGTGAAAACATTTAAAACCAGACTTGAGTGAGTTTCCATTTACTCTCATTAAGTTTCAAAAGCTAAACACACTATAGAGAACATTTCAACTGCAGACAAAGATGAAGAGACAAGTGACTTCCCAAACTTGGGGCCTGTGTTTACACTGATTTATCAAAGAGATGGAATAAGATGCTTAGGTCACTTAGAAGTTTGGGATTGCTGCATTTTATACTAGAAAGCATAAGAACTTTCTTCTACAGTTATTGCAAGGCAAGGCTGCATTTCTCTTTATGGTGGTATATAACTTGTTTCTGTATTAGAGTAGGGTTTGTTGTGATGATCAGATGAGCAGGATGTGTCTGGCAGTGAACAGTCTTGATCAAGCTGTCACTTTGACAGCCACTTAATGTACTGAGGACTGACAGGGATTTGCAGGGAAAGGAAACAA